TCCGCGAACCTTCTCGGAGCCTTCCTGCAGGCATGCCCGACATCTCGCACCTCTGCGACGGGAAGGGGCGGCCGCTCAAGCACAACCGGTCGTGCCACGTGTGCACCCAGGTCTGCACACCCGCGTGCATTGGGCCCTGCACCGAGTGCCGGCCCAGTTCCCGCCTGTCTCGGCGTGGAGAAGCGAGGGAGTACGGGAGTGCCTGGCCCTTGCCCCCACCGCTCCGTGTTTGGGAGAGAACTGCCTCCCATCCTCGCCCTACTGTGTGCCGTACCTCGCGCAGGGCAACGCCTCGTGGCGCGGCGGCTTCTTCCAGCCTCTCGGCTGCTCGAAGTGCGAGAAGATCTACTGCCCGCGCTGCATCGGCAACATCCAGGCCAAGCCCGAGAGAGAGCCCGAGAGGGCCCGAGAGAGGGCCCGAGAGAGGGCCCGAGAGGGCCCGAGAGGACTAACGCGCTGCATCGGCAACCCTCCACAGGGCAAGCCATACGCCGAGCACAAGGAGGAGATCGACCAGTTCATTGAGGAGCACAAGCTGTCGTACGAGTGCGTCTGCTGCGAGAACAAGTGCGCGTGCCAGGCCAAGGAGTTCGAGCCGCTCGAGGTGATCTCCTCGTCGGCGGACAAGTGCGCCGTGCTGCGCGTCTCGGCCAAGCACCCCTTCAAGCCGGGCGACAAGGTGCGCGTCACCGGCCACCACGGCAGCTGCCGCGACGACGAGCTCAAGAAGGGCGAATGGGCCGTCAAGCAGTCTCTCTCGCCAACCTCCTTCTCGATCGAGCTCGACTTGCGCAAGGGCGGCGGCAAGGGCGGCAAGGTGGAGATGGTCAAACTGCAAAAGCACAAGCGGTGGGGCTGGGCCGGCGCGACCGGCTTCGGCATCCAGAAGGATGCTCCGGCGGGCAAAAAGTATTGCCCTCCAGCCAAGCGGCCAAGCGGGGCGAAGGATGCGCCGCCTAGCAAGAGGCAGGCGGCGGCGGGCAAGAGCAAGGTCGAGGCGAAGCCTGCCAAGGCGCACCTCACCAAGCAGTGGCCGCAGTCGAGCCCCGCCAGGGGGCGCGCACGAGCGGGCGCATAGGCCGGCTGCGCGGGGGCGCCGACTGATCCTGCAGAGGCGATAGGCCGGTTGGTGATGATGAGGCTGGGCCTGGCGTGCTCTGAGCTCGCTGAGCAGTAGTCAGCGCGTGCACCAGCTCACGTAGCCGTACTCCTTTCTTCCAGTTCCCGCTGCTGTGACTGTCGTGTGCGGGCCGCGATGCCATAGTACAACAGCCTCTCCCCGCCACCCCCACGCCAGACCCCAGACCGCAGACGCCACCTGCCTGTGCCACGTCCCCCACCCAGCCAGGGCCCGGGCGCCCAGGGGCCCAGCCGCGGCGCGCCCCCGCGCGCGGCAAACCGGCCCACCTCCCCGTGTTCGCTTTTTTATTTATGAGCATTAATTGATGCCCCCTACTCGCTACTGAGTACTGTCCCCAGGCCTAAAAAGTCTGCACACGACCCCGGCGTGAACACGACTAACTGACGGATCCGCTCCTGACAGTGGCACGCAGCGTGGCGGGTGGCGGGCGTGCCACATTGTCTTTGTTTGAAGTAAAAAGTCAAGCTGCTGTACGGCCCCGGCATCGCCTTCCCAGGCTTAGCTAGATTGAGAGATATTGTGCACATGGTTCTTTTCTACAATATATACACTGACACTGAACCT